GAAAAAAAAAAAAAAAAAAAAAAAAAAAACATACATACATACATGCATGCATACATACATACATACATACATACACCATCGCGGAAATAGGCAGGGAAACTTCCTAGAACCTCAAAACATCGAGACCTGATGAAAACTCAATGTTCGAAATACGGAGTGAAACCTATACTATAATTGCCCGACTTTCGAAAATTTTCAGTTTTCTTAGCAGGAATGGCAAATTTCATAATAATCATAGCAAAATAGGAAGTTATTTAGCGACTTTACACACAATATAGTACTCAAATTGAAACTAATTTAAAGAGCTTTAAGTTACAATTTACATAGCCTCGATAAAGTATCACATTCAAAAGTTATTCGAAGAAGAGAGTCAAGAAATATGAATTTTTCGGATTTAGAAAATTTTGAAATTCTAGCATTTTTAAATTACTTGGCCGATTAAGTTCATCTTTGAACTTGACTGCGGTATTTATCTGTAAAATAATTAAGTTAAGTTTGGTAGAGATCCGTTGTAAATTGGCGACGCTATCGTCGTGACAATCCGCGTTATATATTTTTTGGAGGAAATTGAATTTTCTACAAGTTTGTTATTCAAATTTTTTCTGTAGCTCTTGTTATTCTCGAAATAAATGCGAAAAAACGCGAATTCCATGGAAATGAATTAAGTTTAGAGGCCTGTACTACTTTCCCTGATTAAAGAACCGAATTAACAACAACGGAAACAGAATTAAACAGAATTGGAAAATCAATTCTGTTTAATTCTGTTTCCGTTGTTGTTAATTCGGTTTAATTCGGTTCTTTAATCAGGGTTGCCGGTTCGAGTTACGGCTTGGCCGCAATGGATACTTTTGTAGAACATTCAATTCTGAAAAAAACCCGTCCATGGTCGAAGCAATGCTATATGAAATACCACTGAGCTATAGAAATTTAAACATAAAAAAGCCAAAGTTTCTGTTTTTTTAAGGGAAAATCTTTAAACGCGTGGGTCGAGGTCTTAATATTAATATTAAGGGCCCAAATTTTCGAGTTATTTTTTTTTGATAGTTGCAACAAAATTTCGCGATGAGACCGAAAAAATAAAATTAGGAAAACGGTTGACCCAGAAGGCCATCTCTGCAACTTCCCGCTAATTCCATACCTACACAGAAAAAAAAGTCATCCTGACTCAAGAAAATCATTTTCTTCAAAATTTACTTCTTGTTTCAAGTTATTCTGCTATCTTAGTTCAAAAAATTTATTCTTGAACTAATAATGTCATATACTTATCCCAAGTAAATCTTTCTCTTGGTTTGGAAAGTAGCGCCAACGTTGGCGACGTGATTTTTTGGAACTAAACCGAGATTTTTTTAATAAAGAATTAAATTTTAAAAAATAACCTTATGCATGATTTTTAATTTTTGTGTTCATTTAAGTAGACATTTTTGATAAATTATTAACTTGCTGATTTCTCATTATATTACTGATTTACAGTTGAGTGTGTAGTGACGAAAATAATTGTACAAGTATTTGCTCGACTCATACAAAGTACACGGTTAGAAATTTGTTGCGTTAATAACTCAATAACTATAAGTGATATCGACAATCAGAAAAAAGATCCTTAAAGAGGCGGAAATTTCTGAAAAAAAGTCTCGACTCCCGGAACAATAATTTTTATTTAATGTTGAAAATGGGTTTCCGCGCGGCTGCTGTCCTACTCGGGCCTCGATGCGCCCGTGTGTAAATCAAGCAAGTTCAAAAACCAAGAGAATGATTTACTTGGATTAAGAGGTTTTTTTTCTTCACTTAAGTTGGTAAGCCTATTGGAACTAGGGAATATTTGCTTAAACCAAGATTGACCAAAACAAGAAAAAAATTTACTTAACTCAAGATTATATTTTATCTTTAGTTAATTAACTTGGAATATACTCGCTTCGCTCGTGCGTTCAACTTCGCTTTCGTGGGCAATCGACAACTTGTCGCACTTGTTGCACAATATACTATTTTTCGGGATTACTCCGAAGTTTTCGGTTCGATCATTTAAAACCTGAAAATAACTTATGAGGATGATAAAACTGCGTCGAATGGCGTCAAACGCGTGAAAATTGGTTGATCCATTCAAAAGTTATTGTGGTTTGAAAATTCCAAAAATAGTGTTCTATGAAACTTCTATCAGACTTTTGAGCTGGGAGAGCTCAAATGCATACAAATATTATTTCTTTGAACTCAGCGAGCTCAAAATATCACATGAATTATATTTTGAGCTCAAAAATCTCAAAAATGTCATAAGTACAATTTTAAGCGTCCATGAATGGAATTAGCGGGAAGTTGCACGGATGGCCTTTAGGGTGAACCGTTTTTCTAATTTTTTTAAACTGCTATAACTTTTGAATAAATTAACCTATTTGCACGCAGTTGGCGGCAATCGATGAAGTTTTTTAATCTCTATGAATGATTTTAAATAAAAAAAATTGATCTGAAAAATGATTTTGGAGTTATTAAAAAAAAACACTTTTTTCGAGTTTTTTCGACAACGATATCTCACGAACGCATCAACCGATTCTGACGCTTTATGTGGCGATCGATGCGGGTTTTCAAAGTTAAGAGCTGATTAGTTTTTGAGGTTGATTGGTTCAGCCGAATTGTAGATATTTAAAAAAAATGAAAAATAAAACAACTTTTTTGTCACTTTTTTTGCAATTCATCGAAATCAACTGGTCCGAATTGGTTCCAACTTACAGGAAATCTAAGTTTGGCGAAGCCCTTTCGAATAACACCAACCGCGATAAAATCGGTCAAGCTGTTCAAAAATTACGAGAGGTTTACACACACACACACACACACAGACACAGGCACACACATACACACACCCACAGACACACACACACACACACACACACACACACACACACAGACGTACGGACATCATTGTAAAAATAGTCTCGAAAGCTTCTTTGGACTTCAAAACGTCGAGATCTGTTGAAACCTCGATTTTTGCAAAACGGGGTGAAAACAATAACTTCCCGAAATTTTAAAATCTTCGATTTCCTTAGCGGGAAGTTAAAAAATATTATTTAAAAAAATTATAAATTTTATATTAAATTTATAAATTTCTTCCTATAGCGAAACTAGTATCTACACAAAATACAACTTACCGGGATTACTTAGCCATAATTAATTTGAAATCATGTCAACGGGGCCAAATTGAAACAAGATCAAAATTAGCAAAAATTAATAATTTAAACTCCCAATTAACGACCAAACAAATTACGGCTATGCAGTTTCTCGAATTCGCGACCAATTTGGACTTCAATTTTAACAAGGAAGGTAAGAAAATATATTTGTAGAAAAATTATTAAGCTAGTTTCTATTTTATAACTTCCTGTTCTATTCGAGCTTACTTCACAGAAAAAAAAATGTTTTTGAGTATATTTTTTAAGAGCTTAATATTCTTGGTTTGAGTAGAAAAATTCTTGATTTAAAAAAATTTTTCTTGATTTAAGGAAATTTTACTTAACTGAAGAATTTTTCGTCTTGATTCAAGACAATTATCCTCTTCAAAATTATATTCTTGATTCAAGAATTTTTCTCTTGAATCAAATTAATTTTTTTTTCTGTGAATACGTTGAAAAATAATCTGATAAGGAAGTTTTATTTTTTTTTTTGCTCGACGGGCAGAAAGCGTCAAATTTCGGCCCGCTGCGCTAAACGAAATTGTCACTTTCTGCCTTCGTCGAGCAAAAAAATAGCATACACTCTTCGGGAAGTAAATAAAAAAGCCTCAGATCACAGGTTTGTTGACCTCGGCTTCGCCTCTGCCAACAATTACATGTGATCTGAGACTTTACTTCCCTCGGTGTGTAATATACTATTAATCTTTAAAATGGATATTTTCGATACATATGTGCGAAGTGAGGCATTCCCAGGGCTTAAAAATTGAGACACGAGTCTAAGAAACAGCGCGTTTACAATGGGGCCGAGTACGCAGATTACCCCCACGAGCCATTAGGCGAGTAGGGGTAAGCGTACTCGGTCTCATTGTAAACGTGTCGTTTCTTTTGGCGAGTGTCTCAATTAAGCCCTGTGAATGCCTTAGTTGGGACATATGTATCGAACAATATTTTTTGTAACGACTGCTTTCAAAGTTCAACAGAGAGAAATTATTATTTACAAAGAAATATTGTAATTAGCTGAATTATATCAGTTATCAAAATATTATAAATAATATAAATAATACACGTAGTTATGGTTAGTAGTTGCACAGAGTTGAACATATGATCGACAAGCTGCTATTTATGTGAGGTTATTTGGTATGCGCAGGCGCTAGAATTAATCTCAGTATGCTTGATAGTTTGATTTGTAGTGGTAATGGCGGACATATACATTCTATGAATCTCATACATTTATTGTAGTTAATTTTCATTCCCGCACGGTCAAGCAGTTGGAAAGTTTGACTCAGCCTACTTTCCCGCACGCTACTCTAGTGTATGCAACCATCACGACAATACGCAACTTTGCGTTTGCTGAGCAAGGCTCGAATGTTGAACTTTGGAAGCAGGAGTTACAAAAAACAACTTTTCTATATTTGAGCTCAAAAATGTAGTACTCAAGTTATTATAAGCTTATTTTTACCATACCTCCCTAAAGGCCATCCCTGCAACTTCCCGCTAATTCCATCTTTAAATGCTTAAAATTTCACTTATGATGTTTTTGAGCCCTTCGAGCTAAGAAATATAGTTGACATTTGATATTTTTAGCTCTCCGAGTTCAAAGAGTTAGCTGTTCTAAGCTTTTCAGCCCTTCTTCGAATTCAAAAGTTAGAGAGAAGTTTAATACAATACTGATTTTTAAATTTTCAAACTGCTATAACTTTTGAATGGATAAACCGATTTTTACCTGGTTGAAGGCAATCGACGTTGTTTTTGGATTCTTATAAAAAAAATGGAAGTACTAATTGATTTGATATAAAATTTTTATGTAATTTGAAAAGAATAGATTTTTTAGATATTTTTTGCCATCGATATCTCATGAACAAATGAATCGGTTTTGACCGAATTTGCAGCGATCGACGGGGGTTTTCAAAGTTAAAAGCTGATTAGTTTTTGGAATCGTTTGAGAGAGCCGTTAAAAAGTTATTCAAAAAAAACAGTTCAACTTTTTTCATTTTTGAGACTTTTCAAAATCTACTGGTCCAAATAGGTTCAAATTTGCAGGAAATCTAAGTTTAATGGAACTCTTTAGAATCTCGTTTAGTTCATTCAAATCGGACAAGTCGTTCAAAAGTCATATGAGGGTCACACACACACATTCACCGTATGTGATGTCACCCATCAACGCGGGAATAGTAGGGAAGCTTCTTAGGATCTAAAAACCTCGAGATCTGATGAAAACTCTATTTTCGAATAATAGGGTAAAACCAATAACTTCGCGATTTTTGAAAATTTTTAATTTTCTTAGCGGGAAGTTGAAAAGAGTAATGATATAAATATTGGTACTACTACAATTTTTCAGAATTATATAAAACAACAGATTCGGATAAATGTGACAAAATGGAAGACCGTGAAACAAGCGTTGCGAGCACAAGTACAGCGGAACATGAAAGTTTAGTCAATGACAGATTTATTAATAATGATGTAGAAGATGATTTCGAGAGAAGTGAGGGTGAGGAAGTGATAAACAATGATGATGATGAGGAGAGTGACGGAGATGAGGAGAGTGAAAGATATGAGGAGAATGACAATGAAAACTCAAAAAAAAAGATGACTTTAAAAGAAAAGATCATCGGAAAAATCAAAAAAGGTTTATGACAGTTGTATATAGTAAAAAGATTTTCACCACACTGTGAGAAATTTCCATAAAATTTTACTGACAGTGAATTGTGTAAAGTATAGAAAATTTTATAGAGTATATTTAACACGATAGTATGTTTATTCAACACAGTCGTTTGTGTTTTTCGATCAGTCCGTATTGAAACGAACGAAAATCTAATTTAATACCCACTAAATTATTACACACACACACACACACACACACACACACACACACACACACACACACCATCGCCGGAATAGTCAGGGAAGCTTTCTAAGACCTCGAAACGTCCAGAATCGATAAAAATTCGGTTTTTGTAAAACGGGGAGAAAACAATAACTTCCCGATTTTTTTAAATCTTCGATTTTCTTAGTTGAAAGTTAAATAATTACTATTTACTTTTCATTGCAATAAAAAAAAATTACTGAACTTTTTTTGGTTCAATTGACCCCCTTCTCCCCTACATACAATGTCTAAGATATTAAAAATTGATAATTTAATTATTATTTTTTTTTAAATATCAGCTATCAAGAGGTATGAGAATAATAAAAGTAAGGAACGTAGTAGAGTGGTCGAGAGTGCAGATTTAAATGAAACGGTCGAGAGGGAAGAAGTTAACGAACGTGAAAATATTGATCTAGATTTGAATGAGAACGAAGAAATAATTACAAAAAAACAAAAAAAAATTGATGGTGAGAAATTATTTTAATTTTCAAATTGCAATTACTATTAAATGAGTGAACCGATTTTCATGCGGTTGGTAGCATTCGACATAGTTTTTAAATTTCTATATTATAAACACCAATTGATCAGACTAGAAATTCCAATGTAATTCCAATAATTTACTTTTTTCGATTTTTTTCGTCAACGATAAATTACGAACAAATCAAGCGATTTTGACCGGCTTGGCGGCGACCGACGTGGTTTTTTGATGTTAACAGAAGATAAGTTTTTAGAATTGATCAGTAGAGACGTTTTAAAATAATTCCAAGATAACCATATGAAAAAAAAATTTTTTTTTGTTGTTTTTTTTAGATTTTTCAAAATCTACCGGTCTAAATAGATCTGAACCGTATACGAAATCTAAGTTTGGTTAAGCCCTTTCAAACGGCACCAACCGCGATGAAATCGGTCAACCTGTAATTATACTCATATTTTGTTTTGTAAACCGCTTGTAATTTTAAAAAAATTTTCAACTATGTCTTTGATATTTTAGAATCAAGACAAAGTACACGTGGAAAAAAACGAAAAATTGATCACACAAATGAAAAAATTGAAAATATCATATTAGTGAGAAGGAACACTGACAGCGCTGGAGGATGGACGATGAAAAAACGAAATTAATTTTAAAAATTAAATGATTAATACTTTTCATAATTTAATAAATTAAATTGAAAAATTTTTTTTTTTTGCTCGACTGGCAGAAAGCGTCAACTTTCGGCCGCTGCGCTAAACAAAGTTGCCCCTTTCTGCCTTCGTCGAGCAAAAAAATAGTATACACTCCACAGGAAGTAAATAAGAAAGCCTCAGATCACATGTAATTGTTGGCCGAGGCCTCGCCTCGGCCAACAATTACATGTGATCTGAGACATTTCTTACTTTACTTCCATAGGTGTGTAATATGCTATTCCGTTACTGCTAGTTTGGATTGAAAGAAAGTGGCAGATTAATAATATTAATATCTGTTAATATCTGTTAAAGTCGTAAACTGTGACTATATACTTTGTGTAGTTACAAACGTGATTTGGAGAATTCTAATATATAATGAAAGAAATGTAGTACACGGTACGGTATTCGATACGTTTTCGGTGAAGTTCAGCGGCGCAAAGTACCTGGAAGATCTGTCAGAAACAAATGCGACCCGCAATATTTATTTTGGGTACCTGTCAGCTTATTAGGTACGTTCCTGGTGGTAACTCTTAGTGGAAATGACCTGATAAATGTGTCTCATCTTAGTTAAATACGGTCCGGAATATTCAATTTCAGTAAATATGAGCTTATTCGGTACGTTTCCGGTGTTAATCTCTGGCGAAAATGATCTGGTGAGTGGGTCTGAGTTAAATCCACGCCGTAATATTCAATTTGAGTACATGGTAGTTCTCGGCGGTAACATTCGACGAAAAGGATCTAGAGAGTGTCTTCGGATCAAATTTGACCCGCGATATTTATTTAGAGTACTTGGCAGCATATTATGTACGTTAGAGAAAGTAACCTACGTCGAAAAAAACCTGGGAAATATGTTGGATTTAAACCCACTATGGAATATTCGATTTAAGTACACGCTACTATATTCGGTCCATTTCCGATAGAGTTCTGCGGTGAAAAAGACCTGGGGAATATGTTGGAATCAAATTCGACCTACAATATTTATTTAGAGAACCTGACAGCTTATTAGGTACGTTCACGGTGTTAACGCTTAGTGGAAATGACCCGGTTAATGTGTCTTAGTTCAATTCGGTCCAGACTATTCGATTTAAGTAAATGTCAGCATATTCGGTACGTTCCCGGTGGTAACCTTCGTCGAAAAGGACATGGAGAGTTTGGACGAATTAAATTTGACCCGAAAAATTCATATAGAGTACTTGGCAGCATATCATGTACGTTACAGAAGGTAACCTACGATGAAAAGAACCTGGGAAATGTGTTGGAATTGGAACCACTCTCGAATATTCCACTCAAGTACACGCTGCTGTATTCGCTGCTGTATTCGATACGTTTCGATAGTATTTCGAGTCGGAAAAGACCTATGAAATATGTTGGTATCAAATTTAACCCGCAATATTTATTTAGGGTACCTAGCAGCTTATTAGGGACGTTCCCGGTGTTAGCGTTTAGCGAAAATGACCTGGTGAATGTGTCTTAGTTAAATTTGGTCCGGAATATTCTATTTAAGTAAATGTCAGCTTATTCGGTGAGTTCCCGGCGGTAACCTTCAGCAGGAAGAAACTGGAAAGTATGTTCGAATCAAATTTGACCGGCGATATTTATTTAAAGTACTTGGCAGCATATCATGTACGTTACAAGGGTAACCTACTACGAAAAAAACCTGGGGAATGTGTTGGATTTAAACCTACTATGGATTATTCAATTTAAGTACACGCTACTGTCTTCGGTACGTTTCCGATAGAGTTCTGCGGTGGAAAGGACCTGAGGACTGTGTTGGAATTAAATTCGACCCACTATATTTATGGAGGGAACCTGGCAGCTCATTAGGTACGTTCTCGGTGTTTGCGTTTAGCGGAAATGACCAGGTTAATGAGTCTTAGTTAAAACCAGTCCGGAATAATCTATTTAAGTAAATGTCAGCTTATTCGGTACGTTATCGGTGGTAACCTCTGTTGGAAATGACCCGGTGAATATGTCTGATTTGAATCCAGGCCAGAATATTCAATTGATGTACTTGGTAGCTTATTCGGTACGTTTCCGGTAGTAATCTTCGTCAAAAAGGACCTGGAAAGTTTGTTCGTATCAAATTTGATCCGCGATATTTATTTAGAGTACTTGGCAGCATATTACGTATGTTCCAGGGGGTAAACTACTGCGATAAAAACCTGGGGAATGTGTGGGATTTTAACTCACTATGGAATATTAAATTTAAGTACACGCTGCTGTATTCGGTACGTTTTGATAGTATTTCGAGTCGGAAAAGACCTAGGAAAAATGTTGGAATCAAACTCAACCCGCAATATTTATTAAGGCTACCTTGCAGCTAATCAGGTACGTTCGCGTTGTTAACGTTTAGCGGAAATGACCTGGTTAATATGTCTTAGTTAAATTCGGTCCAGAATATTTTATTTAAGTAAATGTCAGCTTATTTGGTACGTTTCCGGCGGTGACGGACCTGGAAAGTTTGTTCGAATCAAATTGACCCGCGATATTTATTTAGAGTACATGGCAGCATATTATGTACGTTACAGGAAGTAACCTACTACGAATAAAACCTAGGGAATGTGGTGGATTTAAACCTACTATGGAATATTTAATTTAAGTACACGCTACTGTATTCGGCACGTTTCCGATGAAGTTCTGAGTCGGAAAAGATCTCGGGAATATGTTGGAATTAAGTTCGACCCGCAATATTCAATTACATACACGGCATTATATTCGGTACGTTTCCGATAGAGTTCTGCGGTGGAAAGGTCCTGGGGAATATGTTGGAATCAAATTCGACCCACAATATTTATTTTGATTATACTTGGCAGCTTATTAGGTACGTTATTAGTTACAGGGGGTAACCCGGGGCGAAAAGGACCTGGGGAATGAGTTGGATTCAACTCCACTCTCGAATATACAATTTTAGTACACGGTACTGTATTCGGTATGTTTGCGGTAGAGCTCAAAGTCGGAAAGGACCTCGGAAATATCTTGGAATTGAATTCGACCCGCAATATTTAATTCACATACACGGCACTATATTCGGTACGTTTCCGACAGAGTTCTGCGGTGGAAAGGACCTGGGGAATATGTTGGAACCAAATTCGACCCACATTATTTATTTAGGGAACCTGGCAGCTTATTAGGTACGTTCACGGTGTTAACGTTTAGTGGAAATGACCCGGTTAATGTGCCTTAGTTAATATTGGTCCAGACTATTCGATTTAAGTAAATGTCAGCTCATTCGGTACGTTCTCGGTGGTAACCTTCGTCGAAAAGGACCTGGAGAGTTTGTACGAATTGAATTTGACCCGCAAAATCCACATAGAGTACTTGACAGCATATCATGTACGTTACAGAAGGTTACCAACATTGAAAAGAACCTGGGAAATGTGTTGGCTTTGAAACCACTTTGGAATATTCTATTTAAGTATACAGTGCTGTATTCGGTACGTTTCGATAGTATTTCGAGTCGGAAAAGACCTAGGAAATATGTTGGTGTCAAATTTAACCCGCAATATTTATTCAGGCTTCTTAGCAGCTTATTGAGGACGTTCCCTGTGTTAGCATTTAGCGAAAATGACCTGGTTAATGTGTCTTAGTTAAATTCGGTCTGGAATATTCTATTTAAGTAAATGTCAGCGTATTCGGTAAGTTCTCGGCGGTAACCATAGGCAGAAAGGAACTGGAGAGTTTTTTCGAATTAAATTTGACCCGCGATATTTGTTTAGAGTACTTGGCAGCATATCATGTACGTTACAGCGGTAACCTACTGCAAAAAAAACCTAGGGAATGTGTTGGATTTAAAGCACACTGGAATATTAAATCCAAGTACACGGTACTGTATTCGGTACGTCTCTAATGAAGTTCGAAGTCGGAAAGGACCCGGTAAATATGTCTGAGTTAAATCCTCGGCGGAATATTATATTTAAGTAAATGTCAGCTTATCCGGTATGATTATGGTGGTAACCTTTGTCGGACCTCACCCGGTGAATATATCTGAGTTGAATCTACGCCGAAATATTTAATTAAAGAACATGGTAGTTCATTCGGTAAGGTCCCGGCGGTAACGGACTTGGAAAGCTTGTTCAAATAATAACTGACCCGCGATATTTATTTAAAGTACTTGGCAGCATATTATGTACGTTACAAGGGTAACGTACTGCGAAAAAAACCTGGGGAATGTGTTGGATTTAAACCTACTATGGACTATTCAATTTAAGTACACGCTACTGTCTTCAGTACGTTTCCGATAGAGTTCTGCGGTGGAAAGGACCTGGGGACTATGTTGGAATCGAATTGGACCCACTATATTTATGTAGAGAACCTGGCAGCTTATTAGGTACGTTCTCGGTGTTTACGTTTAGCGGAAATGACCAGGTTAATGTGTCTTAGTTAAAACCAGTCCGGAATATTCTATTTAAGTAAATGTCAGCTTATTCGGTACGTTGTCGGTGGTAACCTCTGTTGGAAATGACCCGGTGAATATGTCTGATTTGAATCCAGGCCAGAATATTCAATTGATGTACTTGGGAGGTTATTTGGTACGTTCCCGGTAGTAATTTTCGACAAAAAGGACCTGGAAAGTTTGTTTAAAATCAAATTTGACCCGCGATATTGATTTAGAGTACTTGGTAGCACATTATGTACGTTTCAGGGGGTAACCTACTGCGAAAGAAACCTGGGGAAAGTGTTGGATTTAAACCCACTATGGAATATTCAATTTAAGTACACGCTGCTGTATTCGGTACGTTTTGATAGTATTTCGAGTCGGAAAAGACCTAAGAAATATGTTGGAATCAAATACAGCCTGCAATATTCATTAAGGCTACCTAGCAGCTTATTATGTACGTTCCCGGTGTTAACGTTTAGCGGAAATGATCTGGTTAAGGTGTCTTAGTTAAATTCGGTCCGGAATATTTTATTTAAGTAAATGTCAGCTTATTCGGTTCGTTCCCGGTAGTAACGGACCTGGAAAGTTTGTTCAAATCAAAATTAACCCGCGATAATTATGTAGAGTACATGGCAGCATATTATGTACGTTACAGGAAGTAACTTACTGCGAATATAACCTAGGGAATGTGGTGGATTTTAACCTACTATGGAATATTTAATTTCAGTACACGCTACTGTATTCGGCACGTTTCCGATGAAGTTGTGAGTCGGAAAAGACCTCGGGAATATGTTGGGATTAAGTTCGACTCGCAATATTCAATTACATACACGGTATTTTATTCAGTACGTTTCCGATAGAGTTCTGCGGTGGAAAGGTCCTGGGGACTATGTTGGAATCAAATTCGACTCACAATATACATTTAGGGAACCTGGCAGCTTATTAGGTACGTTCCCGCTGTTAACGTTTAGCGGAAATGACCTGGTTAATGTGTCTTAGTTAAATCCGCTCCGGAATATTCTATTTAAGTAAATGTCAGCTTATTCGGTACGTTATCGGTGGTAACCTCTGTTGGAAATGACCCGGTGAATATGTCTGATTTAAATCCACGCCAGAATATTCAATTGATGTACTTGGGAGCTTATTCGGTGTGTTTCCGATGGTGACCTTCGGCAAAAAGGGCCTGGAAAATTTGTCCGAATCAAATATGACCCGCGATATTTATTGAGAGTACTTTGTAGCGTATTATGTACGTTACAGGGGGTAACATACTGCGAAAAAAACCTGGGGAATGTGTTTGATTTTAACCCATCTATGGAATACTCAATTTAAGTACACGTTACTGTATTCGGCACGTTTCCGATGAAGTTCTGAGTCGGAAAAGACCTCGGGAATATGTTGAAATTAAATTTTGCCCGCAATATTCAATTCACATCACATACACGGTACTATATTCCGTAAGTTTCCGATGAATTTCTGAGTCGGAATTGACGTGGTGAATATGTCTGAGTTAAATCCGCACCGGAATATTCTATTGAAGTACATGATAGCTCATTCGGTACGTTCCCGTCTGTAACCTTCGGCAGAACGCTCCTAGAAAATTAGTTCGAATCAAATTTGACCCGCGGTATTTATTTGGACTGTACTTGGCAGTCTATTATGTACGTTACAGGGGATAACTTACTGCAATAAAAACCTGAGGAATGTGTTGGATTTAAACTCACTATGGAATATTCAATTTAAGTACACGCTACTGTATTTGGCACGTTTCCGATAGATAGATATCTAAGTCGGAGAGGACCTGGGGAATATGTTGGAATCAAATTCGACCCGCAATATTGAATTCACATACACGGTAATATATTTGGTACCTTTCCGATAGATTTCTGCGGTGGAAAGGACCTGGGGAATATGTTGGAATCAAATTCGACCCACAATACTTATGTAGGGAACCTGGCAGCTTATTAGGTACGATACAAAAGATAACCTACAGCGAAAAGGACCTACGGAATTTGTTAAATTTGAACCAACTCCGGATTATATAATTTAAGTACACGGTACTGTATTCAGTACTTTTCCGATGGAGTTTTGCGGCAGAAAAGGTCCTGGGGAATATGTTGGAATTAGGTTCGACCTGCCATATTCAATTTAATGTATCTTAGTTTCATCCACGTCAAAATATTCAATTCAAGTAAATGTCAGCTTATTAAGTACGTTTCCGATAATAGCCTCTGGCGAAAATGACGTGGTGAGTGTGTCGAAGTCAAATCCGCGCCGGAATATTGAATTTTTGGACAAGCAACTGTATTTGCTACGTTTCCGATGATGTTCTGAGTTGGTACGGGCCTAAGGAATATGTTGGCGTCAAAGTATTTAATTTAAGTACATAGCAGATAATTCGATACGTTTCCGGCGGTAAACTTCGGCGAACAAGATCTAGAGTGGGTGCTCGAATCAAATTCGACCCGCAATATTTGCTTGGAGTATACTTGGCAGCTTATTAGGTACGGTACAGGAGGGCACCTACGTCGAAAAGAGCCTAGGGACTGTGTTGAATTAAATCCTACTCTGGAATATTCAATTTAAGTACACGCTACTGTATTCGGTACGTTTGCGGTAGAGTTCAGAGTCAGAAAGGACCTGGGGAATATGTTGGAATTAAATTCGACCTGCAATATTTATTTAGGGTACCTGGCAGCTTATGAGGTACGTTTTCGGTGGTAACTTCTGGCGGAAATGACCTCGTGAATGTTTTTTAGTTAAATCCACGCCGGAATATTCAATTAAAGTAAATGTCAGCTTATTCGGTACGTCCTTGGTGGTAGCCAATGGGGGAAATGACCTGGTAAATGTGTCTCAGTAAAATCTGGTGTGGAATATTTAATTTCCATACATGGTAACTCATTCGATACGTTCCCGGTGCTAACCTTTGGTGAAAAGGACGCAAAGAGTGTTTACCAATTAAATTCGACCCGCAATATTTATTTGGAGTATACTTGGCAGCTTATTAAGTACGTGACAGGAGGTAACCTACGGCGAAAAGGACCTGGGGAATGAGTTGGATTCAAACTCATTATAGAATATCCAATTTCAGTATCACGGTACTGTATTCGGTACGTTTGCGGTGGATCTCTGCGGGAAAAAGGACTCGGAGAATATGGTGAAATTAAATTTGACTCGCAATATTCATCTAAGGTACCTGGCAGCTTATTAGGTACGTTCCCGGTGGTAACTTTTAGCGGAAATGAGCTGATGAATGTCTCTTAGTTAAATCCGGTCCGAAATATTCAATTTAAGTAAGTGTCAGCTTATTCGGTTCGTTTCCGACAGTAATTTTCGGCGAAGAGGACCTAGAGAGTGTGTTCGAATCAAATTCGACCCGCAAAATTTATTTGGACTATACTTGGCAGCTTATTAGGTACGTTATAGAAGGCTACTTACCGTAAAAAGGACCTGGGAATGAAATGCATTTGAACTGACTCCGGATTATTCAATTTAAGTACATGGTACTGTATTTGGACCGTTTCCAATAGAGTTCTGAGATCGAAAGGACCTGGGGAATATGTTGAAATCAAATTCGACCCACAATATTTATTTAGGATACCTGGCATCTGATTAGGTACGTTCCCGGTGGTAGCTTTGAGCGGAAATGACCTGGTAAATGTGTCTTAGTTAAATCCGGTCCGAAATATTCAATTAAATTAAATGTCTGCTTATTCGATACGTTCTCGGTGATAACCTCTGTCTGAAATGACCTGGTGAATGTGTCTTAGTTAAATCCGTTCCGAAATATTCAATTTAAGTACATGGTAGCTTATTCGATACGTTCCCGGCGGTAACCTTCAGCGAAAAGGACCTAGAGAGTGTGCTCGTATCAAATTCGATCCGCAATATTTATTTTGAGTATACTCGGCAGCTTATTAGGTACGTTACAGGAGGTAACGCACGGCGAAAAGGACTTGGAGAATGAGTTGGATTCAACCCCACTCTACAATATACAATTTAAGTACACGGTACTGTATTCGGTATGTTTGCGGTGGATTCAAAGTTGGAAAGGACCTGGGAAATATGTTGAAATTAAATTCGACTCAAAATATTCAATGTGGATACACTGTACTATACTCGGTCCATTTCCGATAGAGTTCTGCGGCGGAAAGGACCTGGGGAATATGTTGATATTAAACTCGACCCGCAATATTTAATTTAAATACACGGTACTGTATTCAATACATTTCCGATAGAGTTCTGCGGCGCGAAGGACCTGGGGAAAATGGTAAAATTGAATTCGACTCACAATATTTATTTAGGGTACTTGGTAGCTTATTTGGTACGTTCCTGGTGGTAACTTTTAGCGGAAATAACCTGGTGAACGTGTCTTAGTTAAGTCCGGTCCGGAATATTCAATTTAAGTATATGACAGCTTACTTGGTACGTTCCCAGTGATAACCTACGGCGAAAAGGACCTGAGGAATGTGTTGGATTCAAACCCACTCTAGAATATGCAATTTAAGTACTTGGCAGCTTATGAGGTACGTTCCCGATAGTAACCTTTGGCAGAAAGATTGATAATGTTTTTTTTATTGTTTAGAGTCTTATATAATTATTATTAACAAATTAAAATAAAATTATTATTATCATTAAACAAAATGTAATTGATAAAAAATAAAAATTTATACTTATAATTCAAATGGATTTTCAATTTTAGTTTGATTGTATTGAGTAAAATTTTTCTGATTCACTTCACTGATATTATATTTAATGACATTTATAATTTTTAATTCTTCTTGATTGTCTTTTATGAACCGATCCATGTCAATTATATGATCTTTAAATCGAGCTACATAAAAATGAGTATTATCCATATTAATTGTTATCAATACTTTTTCCGTTGATATAGTTACAGGTTTCGTTTCGAGAAGAAGCTGTAATTGGCTAGAGATACCAGAAACAATAAATGTATACAATTTAGTCTCTAAACACTGACTAAGGGCAATAATTGAACCTTCGTTAGCCCAAATACCGTCAGCAGCGATCATTCTTAAAAAATCATCTATGCTTGGATTATCTATAATATCACTGTCATCATTACCATCTCGAACTTCGATTTCTTTCGTTGTGCATAATACTTTGTAAAAGTTAGAATTCATCATTATATGGTAAATGATCAAAATTTTAATTTCAACGAATCTGTTTTCGTCACTTAAAATAAGTTCCGCGATTGATCGAAAAAAACAATTTCCATCAGGTTCAACGTTGTCAATACTTAAATTATTTAAAAGAATTTTTGGAAATCTTTTCAATGGTACTTTTTTTTTTTGAGTATAGTTTGTTTGAATAAAATAATTAAAATCATTTTTAAAGACATTTCTAATATTATTATAAATTTGTAAAATTATTTTCTGATATTCTTTAACAATATTTATTATTTCATAGAATGACTCACTAGAATGAATTATACTTGAAATTATTTGTGCTTTTAGAGTAGTTGAGTTAGTAATGTTGTTAGAAATTTGTTGATTATTTGTATCATGTTGTCTATCGTTAGTTACATCAACCGTTGAATGAATAATGTTAGACTCTACTTTTATTTCAATTAAACGAATATTTTGCCATTTATTTCCATCAAACGTCGACGAGTCAAGTTTTCTATGAGCCGCGATAAAGTGCCAATGAGTTTCATTAATGATAGTAAATGGTATTAATGAACACGTGTTATTTGGTTTATATTTAAGAATGAATTTTTTTTTGTGTGTATTTTTATCGACACCAATAACAATTATAATCATGTTTAGTGCATCACTCATCGCATATATTGAACCTCCATTCCCCCATCTATATTCACGCGCTATCATTCGTAAGAAATCATCTAATTTTGGACAGCTCATTTCTGAACCGTGCTTATCTTTAACTGAAAAAACCCCACGGGAAATCAATTGTTCATACTTATTTTTATAAAAAAAAATAAAGTTTATAATAAATAGTTTAATTTCAATGTACTTTTCTTGATTACAAAATATTAATTCAGCAAATGTTCGAAATAAGCAATTACTATCAGATGCTATATCAACTAATGAAAACGTGTTATTAAGAATTTGATTTATACAAGCATTGTTATTTGATAAACCATTCGTTTTCAATACATACTTAGAATAATTGTGATCATTAAAATGATTGTCCATCTGTATAGTTAAATTTTTATGAAAAACTTTAAAAATTTGAGAAGACAATTGACAAATAAAATCTTTTTCGCGATTCAAGATTAATTCAATTTGTTTCCAAGATTCACTGTCTGTAATTTGTAGCAAAATTAATCGAATTCTTGATACTGTTTCTTCTTGAGTAGTGTTCTTTTGTAATTTATCAAGATGTTTTTTCTCAACACTTTTACTAACAACTTTTTTTTCTATCAAATTATTTTGTTTTCTTTTGTTGTTTATATAACTTTGAATTATTATTTGTTGTGAATTATTTACTCTGATATCTTCTTTATGGAAATAAATGAAGATATTTAAATCAATTTTCATCGTATTAGTCAACGGTATATTTTTGTACATATCATTTTTTTTTATTAATGCTGAATAATATTTTGAATTTGAATTTAAATGTATGAAAAATTCTTTCTGGTTTTCTATTGGTAAAATTCTGGTATTAGAAAATTGATTTGTTTTTATTACATTAATTGGTCGTTGTAATATTGCTGATATTAATATAACATTTCCTATTCCTGCATGTTGTTGACCGTGTAAAATATTATCAAAAGATATTGTTCGAAATAACTCATTTGGAACGTTCTTTATGAATTTTTCATTTATAATAAAATGGATCGCTTCAAGAACGCGTAAGCATGGCATTAATTTATCAGTTCCACATAATAATGTCGATATTGCATAGTAAAAAGAGTTGCAATCTTCTTTTGTATCTAACGAGATAAAATTTTTTTCGAACGAATTTAAATTTTTAATATCATAATTATTTTTTTTTTCGCGTTTAAATTGAAAAAATTTTCCTTTAAGAAATTCAAGTAATTTACTTATTATTTTAAAATCGTTCTCTTCCATTATATTTTTATTAATTAATCTTTTTCTCAGCCATTTTCCTTCGTTGATTGCTTCGACTAATGTAAGTATCGGTTCATTTTCTTTCTTATCATTTTTTTCAATAGAGTCTAATTCTAGATTATTAAGGATGCAAGTAAGTTGTTTATGATGTCCAAAAATAGTTTCGGTAATTCCATAGCTTAATTGAAAGTTAGCAAAAATTATATCGATAGCTGTTGTAGAATTTGTTGTAATTTCATTATGTTTGAATATTGAATATAATTTTTTTGATTGTAACAGTTTAAAGAATGAATGTGTTGGTTCATTATTCAAATTTATATTAAAGTCTCCCAAAAAAATTATTTTATCACTTTTGTTTTCAGCAATAATCATCATTTCTTCAATTTTCGTTTTTATAGATGAATATTTTGTTGATGGAGGTCTATAACCAGTACATATGACAATATCATCATATAAGCCTGTTATTAGTGAACAAGCTTCTGATTTTTCTTCATTATTATAATTATAAAGAATTTCAAATTTTTTATCTTTTTTACAATATATTACTAATCCATAAGCATGGCGCTTACGATTTTCAGCAACATTTACACGATGTACAATTGTATAACCTTCTATTAAAATTTCATCTTTTGCTTTTATCCATGTTTCTGCTGCTATAAAAATACATGGTTTATATAACTTCATAAAGTTTTTAAATTCAACCCAATGTGAATTTTCTCTTAAACTTTGTATATTTTGATAAATAATTGTTTCTAACTCCGGATTATCTATAAAATAACATGATAAAGATAACTTCGAATTCAATAGACGCTTTATTTCAATCTGCACTTGATCATATGGGTTTTGGAATAAAGGAATGTTTAAATCTCCTACTATGAATAGTCCATTTAACTTCGTACATCGACTGAAAGCAACATAAAGCTCATTTTTTTTCATACCTTTTGCTAAATGAATAACTACGTTATTATAAGTTCCCCCTTGACTTTTATGAATTGTAATCGCTTCTGCTGGTACTATCGGAAATTGTTCTCGAATAATTGTGACTATTTTTTTAGTAGGCTTAATATTTCTCATTGCTTTATCTATTGCAGTCCAATTTTGATGTCCATTTTTATTATAAATTTCTTTTCTTCTCTTCTTACCAATTTGATCATCTGAAAAATCTATCCAGAGTCTGAAAATTTCTTCTTTATGGTTCATTTCATACCCTTTCAAAATTCCTACTGCACCATTAACAAGCCCATCTTCAACATCAATATTTATAGTTAACATGTACTTTATACCAATACTTAATGATAAATATGATGGTAAACCTTGTGCATTTTTAGTTTCTAAATTTTTACATAAGCTTAATAATTTTTCATCAATTGACTTTACGGATTTTCCTGTTACTTTATCAATTGCAACAATAATTTTTTTTTTAACGTCTTTGTTTATAAGTGTATTGTTAAAATTGTCAACTTCATCATTCGTACGAAATAAATGTATTGCATTTCTGGGTATTTTTTCAACATTTTTCACTATCCGAGATTCGAAAAGATTCAAATCATTTTTCGAAAGTGTACCATTAACTAAATTATTAAGTGCTTCAGCAAATTTTAAGTCATCTTTTTGCCGCATTATTTCTGTTAATTGAAAACTTGTAAATAAATTCCATAAAGGGTTACCTATTATATCCCCATACAAATCCTTTGTATGAGATTGAAAAATATATCTATCACCAACTGGAGATAATTGATTAAAATCGCCAAATACAACTACTGATATTCCACCGAAAGGTTTTGAAGTTTGAAAAATTTGCTTTAATCGACTATCGATTTGTTGTATCATTCTTGAACCTACCATACTAATTTCATCAATTATTATTAAACTAAGATCTTTCAATTTTGCATATAAAGTATTTCGGGTGCCACTGCTTAATGGAATAAGTTCTGTTGAACATTGATTCAACGGCAGTATAAAAGCTGCGTGTAAAGTTATTCCTTTTATCCCAAATGCAGCTTTTCCTGTAGGGGCACATAATAAAACTTTGGTTGATTCTAAATTTTTAGAATCACTATTTAAAAAACGTAGCATGGTTTGATAAATTGCTTCTATTAATCGAGATTTTCCAACACCAGCTCCACCAATCACACAATGATATAATGGTAATGATTTTGTTTTAAAACAATGTAATAAATGTAATAGAAATTTTCTTTGTTTTTCATTAAGATTACAAACTAAATTAATGAAATTATCTTCAGCAATTAGTCTCGGTATTGATACATAGTATACATCCTTATTGTCATTAATATTTTCAATTTTATTTATACTTCCCTCCATATCAATCGCGATATCACCTTCATGGGAAGGATCATTGAAAACTTCTAAGTTTTTTGGAGTTTGTTCATTAGTTTCATTTTCATCATTAGATTCGTTCATCTTTTGGGTAGCTTCTTTCAATATACTCTCTATATTTTCATTGTACACGTATTCTGATCTTTTTCTTTCAATTAAATTTTTATTCTCTGAAAATAATGTGGGAGCAGATGTTATTAAAATATTTTCGTTCCGCCATGGTAAAAACAACATTACATTTTCTCGAATAAAATTTTCTTTATCTGTTTGTTCATTATAGTTGATAAATCTAAGAATTTTTGATTTTTTTCTTTTACGAATAAAGCCAGAATTATCAGTCAGTTTTAAAGATATAGCATTGTTGTCAATTAAAAAATTATCACTGTCCCCTTCTTCATCACTGTTATTTTTAGTTTTTCTATGATATTCTTTCGTGGAATAATTATACCAAGCTACGAACGATGCAAGGCAAATATTTTCCAACTCATGTGGGCGGTGCACATAATGGTCTAATGTGTCTTTTACGTAAATATCTGTTGAATCTGGTGATAATTTCTGAAGATCTTGTTTAGATTTAACAATCTGAATTCTATTTGTTGGATGATTTGTGTTAACAAATGTGACTTCTCTTGAACACTTTGAAAGAGGTAATGCTAATATATAGTAAACGGCTTCTTGTGAACCGAATTCACTTGCTTTTAAAAATGCATTTGCAATTAATCTTAATTGTTCTTTCATCGTATAATTTCCTCTTTTAACTTCATTTGTTACATCATACATTAATCGTGAAAGACCCGAGATAGGTTTATTTAAATAGTTCAATACATAACTGGCACATGAATACATATCTAATATAAACTGAATATCCATGTTTGCAGTATGTAATTTTAATATTTCTTGATTATAAGAATTGATCATACATTGATCTGGATTTCTGCGCAACATGACTGTTGGTCGATGCAAATTACTCCGGATAATTTTTATGTATGAATCATAAGTTATATTAAATCTCTCTAACAATTGTTTTATAGTAATAGAAATTTCATTTTTAAAGTTTTCTTCTAAGAATTTTTGAATTTCTACGCGAACTTTTCGTAATTGATTTTTTTCTTCTTTGTCCATATCTGATAAGGGTTTCAAAATACAAGTTTCATACACTGGAAAAAACGGAATATCGAAACGACACTTTATGTTCTTCATTCCTTTTTTACAAGTGAATGTATGTCTATGAGTCTGTAGTTTGATAAGTTCTCTTGAAACAATTTTGTTTGAACATGAAATAAATCTATCGATAAATTTAATGACATCAGAATTGTTTTCTTCATCATCGTTATATTTTGGTGCATTTTGAAGCCATAGTAAACAGTGAATATGTGGAGAACCTCTCTGTTGAAATTCAATCCTATAATAAAAATCTATTATATGATGTTCCCGAAAAATACTATTTTTCTCTTTCATTAGTTTGAATAGTTCTCTTATTCTATAATCGAAGTATCTGGCAATGGTAACTGGATCACTACAAATTAATTTAGCTTTTTCCTTATATTCCATTTTTTCTGCTTGATCTAACGTAATTTCTTCTTCGTCGATGATTTTTTTCAACATTACTATTAATTCAGGCCATTTTGTTTCTGCCGCTGATAAAGTAAAAAAAATAGTCGGAGGACCAATTTGCCGAAACATTGCAAAAACATTTTTCTTTTTCTCTTCCCAAAATGATGGTGATCCGCGATCATGAGATAAAAACTTAAATCCATTATCATTTAACTCTATATTCTTAATCTTATCTTCATCAAGCATATCTTTAACTTTGATTAAATTTGACTTCATTTTATTTTTTCTTAAACAAAAATTTATACTTGACGCGATTTTTGATGTTCTAAGTTTTAATGCTGAGAAAAATAATTTAAGAATTGTAGCACATCGCCGATCTGATCTCATGATTTCTGATTTCATCCAATTTTGATACGTTAAATGTTCCGGTTTCTTAATTAATTTACCTCCATAAATTTTAACAAAACTTAATGATTCAGCAAAATCATCGAATAATGAAACTGGTATTTGACCTTCTCCAGGAGCAAAGACAATCGCTTGTGTTATTAAAAGGGTTGATGCGTCTTCGATATTTACGGGTTCTTCATCATCTGAGTCATCATCTGATGAATTGTTGTCATTGTAATCTAAATTGTCTACTTCAACATTTGAATAATTATTATAATTATGAATATCAGTTTTAGGATCATATTCACAATTATTATGTTCAGGAACGTTGTTTTTGTCTCTTTCTAAGTCTAATTGTATGTTGCAGTGTTTATAAATTTCGGAATTTCGCAATACCATTGCCGCTTTTTTTATTGCTTGAGGTCGAACATTTTCAAACATAACATTAGATTTAAAGGATTTTTTTCTTCTAAAACAAATTGGAATAATCATTGCTTCAGATTTAACTCTTGGTAAAATATTAACTGAGGTTTCAACGTTTGTTGGAACATTAACTGCTCGACCCTTAACAAAATATTGACCATCATTTATAACTGCTCTAATAGTCATAAATGGAATACGAGGAGATATGAATCTTTCTTCAAGATCAGTTAATTTAAAAATTTCATCAGGTACTTCTGGAAATTGTAATTCTTTATAATACATTGACAAAGATGGAATTTTGTTATTTTTTATTGCTTTTTCACAACTCGAACATAAAAATCCTATCGTAAATTCGTCAATTAGTTTACAAATTGAATTTATTGATGATAAATTAAAATGTTTTAAATCATTTATTTTAAAAAATTTAACTGATGACTTGAACCATAATCGACGACAAGAAGAACATTCATATGTAGGACCTTCCAATTTTAATAAATTAAATTTATCAAATAACACTTTACGTTGTAAGCTTTCATCTTTATCTTTTTTTAACAATTTAGACCTTAAGACTCGATTGATATGTAATTTTCTTTGTTGTTCATTTCTTAACCTTTCCTTTTGATTAATATATAAGTTTTTATTATGTACTTTTCTTATACTTGTAATAAGTAATCTTTTTTTCTGACAATGTTTATTACTTTTATTGTGTGCTTCTTTTTTCTCATTATTTAATAATCTTATTGATTGATACATTTTATTAATCTCATTGTGTATTTTACGAGTATCGTTATCATTCAATCTTTTATTTTGAGATACTTTTAATTTTTCTTGATGAATTTTTCTTTTTACCGGGTCGTGTAATCGTTTATTTTGTGATGCTTTTAATGCTTCTTGATGAATTTTTCTTTTTGCCGAGTCGTGTAATCGTTTATTTTGAGATACTTTTAATCTTTCTTGATGAATTTTTCTTTTTGCCGAGTCGTGTAATCGTTTATTTTGAGATACTTTTAATCTTTCTTGATGAATTTTTCTTTTTGCCGGGTCGTGTAATCGTTTATTTTGAGATACTTTTAATTTTTCTTGATGAATTTTTCTTTTTGTCGGGTCTTGTAATCGTTGATCTTGAAATAATTTTGCCCTCTCTTGGTGAATTTTTCTTTTTGTTGGGTCGTGTAATCGTTGATCTTGAGATAATTTTGCTCTCTCTTGGTGAATTTTTCTTTTTGTCGGGTCTTGTAATCGTTGATCTTGAGATAATTTTGCCCTCTCTTGGTGAATTTTTCTTTTTATTGGGTCTTTTAATCTTTCATTTTGGGATAATCTCAATCTTTCTAAATGCTTTTTTCTTTCTTCCGGATCCTGTAGTCTTTTTCTTTGAGAAAGTCTTAATTTTGTTAAGTGATTTTGATAATTATCACTTGTAGTAAATCTTAGTTTATGATAAAGATTATCTTTTTCTTTATATTCAAATGAATTTTTTTTATAATTTTGTATTCTTCTTTTGTGTAACGTTAAATTGGTTTCGCTTGAAAGATATCGTTGCTGTCTAATTTTTGAAGATAAAATAACTTTTTCCCCATCAGCATTGTCAGAATTATGTTCACTATCAGCAAAATCTCTCTTTCTTCGTTTGCAAATGGAATTTTCTCTCTTTATTTGATCAGAACTTTTTCTCTTCAACTTCGGCATATTTAGAAAATATGTGGTAAATGCTTGATAATAGTAATAATTCACTAACGTATAATCAGTTAAGAAAATTAATTATAATTTAATGATAGTTTGACTTCATTAAATTATAGAAAAAAATCTCAAACTGATTAAAAAAATATTAAATATTTTTTTTATTATTAATCTTCAATCACTGTTTATGATCTTTGAAATAAACTTGTTTTAATACAACGGAAACGAACAAAAAAAATAATTATTTTGAAATATATTAAAAAAATAAATATTTAAAAATTGATATTTTTAGAAATGAAAAATTTTGAATACCTATTCATGTATATTTCTTTGAATTTTAAGGTACTCACTCCTTCCTTTCTTTCAGGTTCTTTAATTTCTTTTTTTGGAAGATTTTCAATTATAAAATCTATATAAAAATATGAAAAAAAAGATGTTTGAGAAAATTTCAAAGTTATTTGAAATTAAAAATTTTTCAATTGCATACAACTTGGGATCTAATCCACTAATTAGTTTTATTTTAGAAGTTGATTAAAATCAAGTCAGGTCTTAAAATACTGATAAATAACAGGTCTTAAAATAACTGCTTAGTTAAAGAGTTATCGACATAAATTAGTCACACTATATTTAAGTATAAATAAATAAAATTTTATGATATTTTAAAAATTAGTGGGTACGTAATTTAAAAAATTTGGACTTGAGACACTGGATATCATCACAGATTATACTTAGTGATATCTGTGGTGAAAAAAAATTTGTTAATTAAAATTTTCCAGTGTTAAAATACCACTTGATTTAAGAATTATCGAGATTAATAAGTTATTTTTATTCGAAAAACTTTTGTCTCACGTCAAATTTTTTTTTTTGAACATGTGCCAATTAATTTTTAAAAAATTATAATATTTAATTTATTCATTCTTGAATATAATCTTAAATCCTATTTAAGAGTATTCCTTGAAATACTCTTAAATCTTAAGTCTTAGATTTAAGAATTATTAAGATTAATAAGTCATATTATATTTAGGCATGAATAAATCAAATATAATAATTCTCAAAAAATTAATTGGTACATTTTTTCAAAAATTTCAAGTCAAAATAAAAATTTTTCGAATAAAATGAGTTTGAAATATTGTCTTCTTTAAAAGAAATCAAGTCCAGTGCTAAAACGCCGCTTGGTTTAACAATTATCGAGATTAATACGTCTCACTACATTCAAGCATGAATAAAGTAAACATTATAATTCGTAAAAAAATTGATTGATATAAATGAAAAAAAAAATTGACTTCAAAATTTGTAATTTTTAAAGAGTTTTCAAATATAACTCCGGAACTATACGTAATAATATACAATCATTAAATTTTAAAATTAGGTAATAGCATTGATAAAGTCTTATTATTTATATTCAAAATCTTACTTGATTAGTTATTGTTCACACGCTTGATGTTTATTGTAGTCATTATAATAATTCTTAATCGATTTTTAAAAATAAATATGTTTCAACAATATTAAAAATAAATGTAATGTTTATTAATTAAAGAAATATCACAATAACATTGAAGAATTGTCACCAGTCAATCGCTTTTATAAAACACAATTGGGTTATATTGAGAATGAAAAATAAAAACAATTGCAGCAAACTTCATAGAATTATAAATAATTATTATGCGAATGAAAAGTTCGATTTTTAACTTAATTATTTGGGTCCTAAAATGTTATTGTTATGATTAACATTTCGTATAACAGATAAATTAAATAAAAAATTGTTTATGTAACTAATTTTGTAAATTCAAGCATGAATAAATCGAATATTATAAATTTAAAAAGTTGGTTAGTATATCGTTCAGAAAATTTTGACTTGAGACAAAAATTTTTCGAATAAAATCAGCTCACGATGTATTCTGTTATAATTAAAATAGAGTCAGGTGCTAAAACTCCGCTTTGATTGAGAGTTATTGAGATTAATGAGTCATAATAAATTTAAGTATAAAGAAATTAAATATTATAAATTTTAAAAATTGGTTGGTATATTATATTAAAAATTTCCACTTGAGATAAAAATTTTTCGAACAAGATGAATGTAAAAAAATATTGTCTTCTACAATTAAAAGTTCAGTGATAAAATCCCACTTAGTTTAAGAGTTACTGACGTTAATAAGTCACATCACATTTAAGTAGGAATAAAACAAATATGATAATTTTTTAAATATTAATTGGTAACTGTATTAAAAATTTTGACTTAAGCCAAAAATTTTTTGAACAAACTTAGTTCAAAATTTTGTCTTTTATATTAAAAATCGAGTCAAGTGTTAAAACTCCGCTTTGATTAAGAATTATTGAGATTAATTAGTCACAATAAATTTAAGCATAAAGAAATTAAATATTATAAATTTTAAGAATTGGTTGGGACATTGTTTTAAAAATTTCCACCTGAAACATTAAAAAATTTTCAAACAAAATGAGTTTAAAATATTGTCTTCTATGATTAAAATCAAGTCCAGTGTTAAAACGCCACTTGGTTTAACAATTTTTAAGATTAATAAGTCACACTATATTATAGCATAAATAAATTAAACATTATAATTTTTTTAAAAATTAATTGATACATTTTATAAAAATGTTGACATGAGATAAAATTTTTTTAAACAAAATAAGTATAAAATATTTTCTTGTGTAATTAAAATTGTCCAATGTTAAAACTCTACTTTAATTAAAAAAAAATATCGAGATTAATAAGTAACACTATAGTTAAGCATGAATAAATCAAATATTATAATTTTTTAAATTCGTTGGTACATATCTAAAAAAAAAATTGACTTACGACAAAAACTTTTTGAATAAACTTAGTTTAAAATTTTGTCTTTTATATTAAAAATTGAGTCAGTTATTTAAACTCCGCTTGGTTTAAGAATTATCGAGATTAATGAGTCATAATAAATGCAAACATAAAGAACTCAAATATTAAAAAAAAAAAATATTTTTAAATTGGTTGACACATTGTTATAAAATTTCAACTGAAGACAAAAATTTATCAAATAAAATGCGTTTAAAATATTGCCTTATATAAATAAAATTAAGTCCAGTGTTAAAACTCTGCTTGGTTTAAGAATTATCGAGATTAATAAGTCTCATTCGATTTCAGCATGAATAAATCAAATATAATAATTTTTTAAAAATTAATTGGTACTTTTAAAAAAAAAAATTAACTCGAGACAAAAATTTTTTGGATAAAATTAGTTTAGAATATTGTCTTCTATATGCGACTGCGTGGCCGAGCGGTTTAAATCTTAAACTGCCCGTACAACAGTCGTTTAGGCGTGAGTTCGAACCCTGGCAGTCGC